GAGAGCTGGCATGGGTGCTGAAAAACTGTTTTATTTTTTTAACACAAAATAATGACTAATTATATACATAAAAATAGTATCCACAGACCGAAGAGAATGGACCAAAAAGACAAGGGGAGCACTGAGGACACTGAGTGTTTTCAGAGTTTGTTGCATCTTCTACACTTCAGGAAAGAACTGAAGGGTGGCTGGGGCCTATTTACACTGTTGGAACCCTGCACAAGGGGTAGGGGAGTTTGTAAAGACACTGATCCCAGTAGACAGTTTTCCAAAAGATTTCAAGCTCACATTCCAAGGGCGAGTTAATCCCAAGAACAGGAATCCATGTGGGCAGTTCTCAAAGGCAAACTCTCTGTGTAATGTGTGAACATGATATCATTATAAAATCCTAAGGATAGCAAGGCATTTCTAAAAGTCTTGACGTTTGTAATCTGTCACAGTTATGGAACCTAATATTAAAATCTCCAGAATTTATAACTGGATTCCTGACGTATTATATAACTTTACAGTGGAGTGTCAGACATTACTGTTAAATTCAGAAAGCATTACAAACATTTATATGGACATATATAAACATTTCATTTCTTCAAGCAGTAAGATCCATAGATCCTATAATGGGCTTGAGGCCTGTTTGCATCTTGATGGAACTCAGACCTGTCAATCACTGGCACAGCTTATGACCTTACTGATGAAGAGATGATATAACTTCCAGTATGGAAGTTGGGGAGCCTTGTAGGTTTCTTCTTAAGAAATATGTCTCAATCCAAGAGACAATGCTGCATGAGTGCAGAAGACGATGAGTTCTTTATCTTGTATGCCTCAGATATTCATAATCTGATCCACCTAGATATCAGAGGCTTTGAAGTCTTTTTGTTCCTTACAGCTAGGCGACAAGACAAAATTATGAACTCTATCTTCTGAATACTTCAGTTTTGTGTAGATATATTTTTATTATTGTGCAGACATGAAAGCTGTTCCACAGCTTTCCCGTTGGACACAGTGGCTTGGGACAGAAAGCTTGCAGTACTGTCTCCTTTGAGACTTTAGGGATGAAAGATTGCTTTGTCCTGAGAACCACTATCTCAACATGAAAATAGAGTACTGGGGTTCTGTGGACAGAACTCTTCATTCCAATGCCCATCAGGCTGACGTAATTGCTATTAAAAAAAAACAATTGTTAGAGAGGGAACACCTCCTTTATAAGTTCAGAAGAATACCTTATGGGGACATTTAGCAACAGATTGACATCCAGTGATGGGGTTACCTTGTGTAGTTGTGGAGAATGGATCAGAAAAAGTATCAGTGTCTAGTGATAAGTGATAATTATTTGGACCTTTCTCATATGTTGGATATAACTGATGTGCGTACCAGTATGGCCTCATTTCTAAGCTAGTGACTGACATCTCTATATTCTTCCCTCAAAACCACACGAGGCTAAAGGTTTTGGACTTTAGTACTCTGGAAAATATCTTTACCAAGACTGATCTTGTTGTAATCAACTCCTCTAGGAAGAAGTTCATTGAATGAGCTGTGATAAATAACAAAAGAAAATTTTCAGAGTAGCAGCCGTATTAGTCTGTATCCGCAAAAAGAACAGGAGTACTTGTGGCACCTCTCCCCGCTATAAAATTCACATCAGCTGTGACATTTAGCCATATAGCCTAACCTAAACTGAGGACAACGAGACTTAATCCTTCTACTAAAATACTCTACATCAGTAAAAACAAAAAGCTTTGTAAATCATACCAAGAGGCAGCACAGGGGTTCACAACATAATCCAGACAGCAAGGCCTGAGAACTACTCACATTGATCTCTAGTGTTCCTCCCTGAGGCCAATCCAAGAAGCAGTATTGACTTGCTCTACAGAGAAGCTAGCCCTTCTCTGAAGCAGAGGGTCTATCTATGCTGCAGCTGGGAGTGAGCCTCCCAGCCCGGGCACAGAGACTCGCAGTAGCAGGGCTTAAGCTAACATGCTCAAAATAGCTGTGTGGGCCTTGCAGCTGCATCAGAAACTCAGGCTAGCCACTTGAGCTCAAGCCTAGAGTCTCAATGTCCACACAGCTATTTTTAGTGCTAGCTCGAGCCCCACTAGCCTGAGTCTGTTTACCTGGGCTGGGATGCTAGCTCCCAGCTGCAATGTAGATATCCTCAGAGAGGGTTGCTGTGATAGAGGGCTTTTGAGGAAGAAGTGAGTGTGAGGAATGGTGGAGGAGGTATCCCACAATCCTCTGGAATAAAGATGATCTTTGCTCTAGATTCCATATTTTTTCTCTCCCCTTTAAACTATCTCTAGTCATCTTCCATTCTGCACAAACATAACACAAAGCCTTAAATGCAATTTCCTGCAAGAGAATCACTCAAATTTCCACGGGTGAGCAGGATTAACTGCTGCACCACCAAACACAATAAATTTTATTTACAAATATTTGGTAAAACTTAGTTAGTATGATTTTTTTTTAAAGAAAAATAAAATATATATTTAAAAAAACCACAGTAGGAAAGGTTATATCCTGTCTCAATTTGAAACCTTTACTGGAAAGACTTTTCTGTCCTTAGGGGGGGAAAAGTTAATTTTGGTTTTCAGAAAAACCCTCTACTGAGATGCCAATTTCATATTTGCCAGCATCTTTCTAACTACTATGCATGCCAAAGAAAAACAAGACCATCAAATGGATAAAACACTTGAGGGCCCCATTACAGACTCAAATGCATTCAGATTCAAACGTTTATTCCTCATTTCAAGAGATGAATATTCTGCAAGTGCTGTTCTGGGTGATGAACTGACCTTTCCAGCAATATCATAACCACAACACAGTGCTAAAGGAATTTAAAGTTATCAGTCTCTACCACCTTCATAATCCACTATGGGATAAAAAAAAAAGTTCAGTTTCTCCTGTTGATATGCCTTCAGGACCCCCCACCAATCTGACATTTCTTAATCCTATCTTATTTTTCAGGTCATCAATTTGATCTCTCAGTGAGCTTTACAGTTGTTGGCATTCTCAGTTAGAAAAGTGTCATGTTCATTGATCTTTATCTTCATGTCTTCAATTTTTCTCTAAGCCTGCTGCAGTCGTTAACTGAAGATTTTGAACTTCTTTTCCATTCCACACATTTTAGCCTGAATTAGCATTAACCTTTAGCTAACATCTGATGAGTTAATACAAAGCAAGTGTAGCATCACTTGGTAAATCAAATATACTTCCTATTGGTGCAAAACTGCAAGCAGCCAGGCCTGGTTCACAAATACTCTAAAAATAGACAAATCAAAATCCTTGAACCGTATTGGCTTAATTTTTGGTATTGAAAAGGACTCTCTCTCTCTCTCTCTTTCCTTTCCCCCTCCTTAACACAATCAAAATCAAGTAAAAACAATTACCTTAAGACACCAAAATGCATCAAAGGCAATAAAAATAAATTACAGAAAGCCAAATGCCACAAAAAGCTACCAAATCTTATTCTGCCCATAAAACTCCCAATGTTTCATTCTTTTCTTTTTTTAAATATTCTCAGAAAGATCACAATGGAGTTATTACTTTTTATAAAATAGAATTAATAGCAAATAAAATATAATTACCCTTGGAAAATTCTGAGCTATGATTTCACACTATCACCACAGGTTGGTGGGGAAAAAATAAAGAAAAATTCTCTAAAAGGGGGTGGAAAATAGGAAAGAGAAAGACTAACTATTGCAAACAGTAACAGTACAAACATACTCTAGGCAGGTGTGGTAAAACAAAGCAACAGCACCATCCCTAGGGTAGTTGAAGACGCTTTGTTTTCAGCCGGGTGCTATACTGCATACAGGTGTGGTGAAACTTCCTAGTATCATAACACCCACTTTATACCCCTAACTTTAATCAGAAACATTGTAACAAAAACTTGAGCTTTCCAACTATGAAAAAATATCAGAAAAACAGACAATAAATAAATCCTCATTGCACCAGTTTTAATAAAGGTGTGATTTTAAACTCATGGAAAAAGGTGAGTTTGACACTCCTATGGGCAGTTTAAAACAGGCTGATTTCACTTTAGGTTAATTTGATTAGCAATCAGTTTAAGATAAACTGAAATAAGAGTGTCCACACATAGATTTCCATAATTTTAAATCAGTTTAAAAACCATTTAAAGTTATATCAGTGCATTTTTCTTGTATAGACAAGAATACAGAGAACAAATAGGGTGAGGGAACTTTAGGACCTGACCTTGTTTTTGGTGAGGGTCAGATATTACATTGAAAGGAACAAGTCTATGATTTTATAATTTTCTATCTGGCAGGGTACAACTAAAAGAATAAATAGGTACAAAAGTTTTAAAATATCTTTTGAGTTAATATACTGGTAGCCTGCTTTCACTAAGGCTTGGTCTACACTACCACTTACCTTGAGCGCTGTAAGTTACAGCGACCTAAGCACTGGTGTGGACAGAGCTATGTCGGCAGGAGGACTTTTCCCATTGACATAGCTACTGTCTCTTGCAGAGGTGGATTTACTATGCTGACTGGACAGCTCCCTCCCGTCAGCATAATAAAATACATGCTAATAAAACTTGTGCAATGACATGGACTATCAATATGGGGTGCTACAGCTGGAGATGTGTTTCTTTCCTCTGGAGGGGCACGTGACAGACAGATAGTCAGTACACTTTCTACTTCTCCATTAAATATTTACCCTCCACTTCTAAACCAGAGTTCTTTAGTCTTCTATAGCATAGAAATACCATGTTAATCTAAAAATTCAGGGCCATGTGTGTTTGATTCAGTAGAACAAGATCAACCTATTGAAGACAGTTCAAAATACTGGATGCTGTTCATATGAAGAAAGGTGCTAATGAAAACGACTATCCAGTAAAATGTTAAGACTGTAAAAACATTACACATGCACATATAAAGTTCTATATAAAGCCCTTAAATTACTTCCCATTTCTGCAAAATGTACAGCATATTCTATAACACTGAATGAGTGAGTTAAAAAGACATATGCTGTTAGCAGCAGTTTACCTGAGGATCTTCTTGGGAATCTGAGATGGTGAAGAATGACTCTTAATTTTCTGTTCAGAATCCTCTGCCAACATCTCTTCCATTTCTGCTTTGTCCTTTGCCACTGTATCTTCATTTGGAAACTCCACTCCAGCCTTGTTCTGGTCGGTGTTTGGTTCAGCCTGTGCTGGTTCACATCTATACATGAAAACAATGGATGGCTTCTCACTGGAGTCTGTTTTTGACTCACTGAACCAATGGTGGCGTTGAACTGGAGGAGGGGGCAGCATATGTATAACAGTTCCATCAAGACCCACTAGTTTCCCTTTTTCTCTTTCCTTCTCTTTGTCTTCCTCATCATCAGTCTTTCTGCGGCGGAAGAAGCTCTTAAATGATATCCAGCGCTTGGGTTTTGCATCAGCAGCTCGTCTACCTTCTGAATGCAGTATTGACTCTGCCTCTGTTGATCTAATGGGACTGGTTGGTTTGCTCCAGTTGCTGAAATGTCTTTGTAACAGATTACTTGCATGATAGGGTGAAGAAGTGGAACGTGGAGGGGGAAATGGAGGTGCTTGCTCTATTTTGGGACTTGTGGTATTATGGGTGCCTGTTACTGGCTTCGACAAATGGGTGGTAAGTGGCTTTGAAAGTGTATCCTTCTGCATTTTAGTGGTAGTGCTTTCTGTGGCACTGGATACTTCAGTATCATTGATAGGTTGTGCAGTAAAGAGAGATTTGGGTCGTACCAGGCTGCTTTTAGTGGTATCTGCATCAGGTGGTAGGGAATATAATTCTTCCACACTGCAAGATTTGGGTCCTGATTGAGGTGTTTCTGGAGGAGACTGCGGGGGCTGGATAGAAGCCACAATCTGAGAAAGCACTGTGTTTGCATTTTCCCTATTGCTGTTGCCACCAGAAGTCTCCTGTGCTCCTTCCATTTTGGCTGCAGGCTCTTGACTTGTCTTCTGAACTCTTGTTGGGGAGCTATGGTCAAAACTATGACTTCTTTGTGGTGATGTCTGACCTTTGCTGAGACAGCTATTGTACTCTTGAACTTTCTGAGCCACAGAACCCAGTTTACACTCTGTGCTATTAGTTACCCCCTTGGGTTGGGTAAATTCAGTGGGTTTGCTGGGTATATTTTCAGAGATTTTGCTTTCTGTTTCTATTTCTTCATATGTGTGGCTTATTACACTTGTAGTTTTATCTTTGATGGATAGCTCTCCACTGGTCCCTAGAAAACTTTTATAGATGGCTAAATTATCATACGCATTTGGATTGATTACAATAGGAACTTTGATAGCATTCTTTGAACTCCTAGCATATGTAGGTTCATCATGAATGATAATTGGGAAAGGTGGCATGCCAGCATTGTTGTAACTATTAAATTTTATCTCAGACAAATTGGGTGACTTCACTGGGATGGTTTTTGAAGAAATATTTGTGGCTGTAGGTGAAGTAGGAGCAGATTTGTGGCTGCTTTTCCTTGGAGGGACTGAAGGTCCTGAGCTATTAGCAATTAATTCCACCTTAGGTATCTTCTGTCGTGGGCTAGTACTAGAGGTCCATACTTCTTGGTATCTAACTGCACTGGATTTTTTTAGATTGGCATTTACTTCGCACAGATGATGCAGTATTAGATATAATCGGAGCACCTGGAGTTCCTGGTGAATTTGGGTGAGATGGTGTACTTTTGGTTTCTGAGCTTTCAGTCTGACCATCCATACTCTCATTGGTCATGGCTGCTGACACATCTACTATAGTATAAGGCTTGCACACTGGTTGTTCCATATTTACCACTCTGTAAGGTTTGGCTTGATCTTCCATTGGTACCAAGTTTATAGTCACTGCTTGACCAGTAACATCTGTAGCACTTTTGCTTTCTTGATTATCACTTTGTACCGCAATCTTGCCATCCTTCTCTTCCAATCTAAGTGCAAGAACTGCCTTGTGAGTCTCTAGAATGTTTGCAGTGTTTCTGGAAGTTTTTGGCATGTCTTTCATTTGCTGCTTATCACAAAGACTCTCATAATCTGGTTCAATCAACTTGATCTCCTTAGGGGTACTGGGAGAAAACCCTCCATTGCAGAGTTTTTGAGATGAACTACTGATTGTTCCAGAGCGAGACTCTTCAGTCAAAGAAGAATCAGGAGATGTGGAATCAGATGATACCATACTCTGCATGCTTTCTTGCCCATAAAGCATCACAGTTTCTTCTCCATAACCATTTAAAATTTCATCATAGCTATCATCATAGTCTACAGCACAGATCCTCTGTAGAGACTTGTTCCTTAAAGGCACAGTGTTCCATTTTTTGTCAACACAAAACCGGACAGGAGACAGGGTGTTAGCTCTAAAGTTAGCAAAGCGAGGTTGGCCCCGCATGCGAATTTCCATTGCTAGCAGCTCTTCATCACTTTCATCCCAACTCTCATGCTCTTCCTGCATGCTGCCAAAAAACATATCATCCTCACTCTCATCTCCACTGGAGAATTCTGGGTAACAGAAACGCCCACCTTCATTACTTATTACTTCAGTGCTTCCACTCAGAATAACATGCTTACTATGTGAATCCTTCATTCCACCCATCATGCAGCTTGGAGGGATCTGTCTTTCTAATGATCTTTTATAGCAATTATTTATTCTTCCCAAGAACGTGTCCCTTGAGTTCATTTCATTTCCTGTTTGCTGAGGTGTGGTATCCAAACCCGCAATTTCCTTCAACACTTCTGTCAGTCCATTATTATTGTTATTTGGTATCTTACCTGCACTATCATTGTTGCCATAAGGCCTATGAACATGGCTATAACCTTCAATTTCATCTTCATTATTATTGTTCAGTGGCTTTTTGTTTAAGACAGTCTTGTTTCGGTTCCACCCTATAATTACTGGCTTGTTCTCACAATGATCGGTTGTGCTGATCTCACCACTGACACTCTGCCCATCTACCACCATCATGGTGGGTTTCACAGCTATAGTGGGTTTCTTCGCTACAGGGGGTCGGAAATTTCCTGTACTTCTACCACGGTGGTTGTTACTGTGGTTTGCATTGGTTTTCAGATTACCATGCGAGAGGGAAGTCTTTTCAGAGGCTGGGGGCAGTTGGTGCAAGCTTTTGGGTTTGAAGCAGTTTTTACATTCACCAGGTTTCCAGACGTGTTCAGTGAAGGTGTTGCAAGCAGACATTTTCCCAGAGCTTTGCACCTGATGTTCCACTGTTCAGTGCATGGTAAGAACTTCATCCATTCGTTTTCACTCTGCTCATTTATTCTGGCTATGCTTTCAAATAGTGATCTTTCTGAAAAATGAAAGACAGAAAACAAAAGATGAGAATGGGGAAAAACAACAACATTCAGTGACAAGTGAATGATTGTGTTTATACTCATATTCTGACTGTTTCTCCTTTTACAACACTTACTCCTGGGGGAATAATGTGCCGCTGTGCAATGCAGAATTTACGGAGAATTAATGTTCTGCACAGAATTTCATTTCTTCCCGGAGAATTGGTGCTGCACAGCTGCTGGCTGCCACTAGGGGCTACTGGTCCTGGCAGAGCCCGTCTCCCCAGCTCGTAAATAGAGGACACTGTTGGAGGGAGGGGAGGGGGAACTGGAGGGGTCCCGGCAACTGTGGTTCCCAGCATACCCTGAAGGAGGTGGCATGTGGGCCATGGCCTCACAGTGAACAGACCGCCCAGCCTGGCAGAGATGGAGGCCCTGTGCAGTGTCAGCCCTGCACCACCCAACACTGAAATCACCACAGGAAACTCCATACAAGCCCGGTCTAACCAGCATCAGGCTGTTTCTCCCTATGGATCCCCAGGCTCTGGGAGGAGAGAATGCAGGTGTCTGGGATGGGGGGTGCCCCGTGGCTGTGCTCTGGGGTTTGTGTGGAGGTGTCTGGCCCCGTGGCTGGGCTTTGGGGAAGAGGGGGGAACATGTGTCTGGGCTAGGGGGTGCCCCATGCAGCCCCCTCCAGTACCCCCCAAATACTCTCTCCCAGTACACACAGACCCCCTCCAGCACTCCCCAACTGTACCCCCTTCCAACTCCCCATCCCCCTGGCATTGTCCTCTATTTGGGAGCCTCTATATGGTAATCCTATGGGGGCAAGACAAAACCCCAAGAATCAACAAAAGATCGGAGTGACAGAGTTTTCCCCCAAGATGTGCCCAGATGGCATGTGGCACACCCAGACTGAGGTGCCCCACAAAAACATAACAGAGAAACAGGAACTGGGTTGTCATACAGGTTCCTTTAACGTTTTGCTCCTGGGGGAATCTTTTTTGTTGTCAGTACTGTTACAGACATTTTTTCTGAGAGGTATTTTGAAATAAATTACCCAAATAATTGAAACTGGCATGATTAGATTGTATTATTTTCACAAATAAAATATACAGAATTTTAAAATATTGTGCACAGAATTTTTATTTGTGTAGTACAGAATTCCCCCAGGAGTAAACACTCTTAGCAATGATTTAAAAGAATCAAGTAGTCTCTATCTGACAACTTATAGCTCTTTATTGACTTCAACAAAACCAAATATCTGAAATGCAAAACAATTACATATAGATAGGGCCCTACCAAATTCACAGCCATGAAAAATGCATCACAGACTGTGAAATCTGGTCTTTTGTGTGCTTTTACCCTATACTATACAGATTTCACAGAGGAGACCAGCGTTTCTCATATTGGGGGTCCTGACCCAAAAAGGAGTTGCAGGGCGGTCACAAGGTTATTTTAGGGGGGTTGAGTTATTGCCACCCTTACTTCTGCACTGCCTTCAGAGCTGGATGGCCAGAAAGTGGTGGCTATTGACCAGGTGCCCAGTTCTGAATGCCACACCCTGACAGCAGTAGCGCAGAAGTAAAGGTGGCAATACCACACCATGCCATCCTTACTTCTGTGCTGCTGCTGGTGGCGGCTCTGCCTTCAGAGCTGGGCTCCTGCCCAGCAGCCACCGCTCTGCAGCTGCCCAGCTTTAAAGGCAGTGACCCTGCCAGCAGCAGTGCAGAAGTAAAGGTAGCAGTACCACAATCCCCCCTACGATAATCTTGCGACTCCCTCCCACAACTTCTTTTTGGGTCAGGACACCTACAATTACAACACAATGAAATTTCAGATTTAAATAGCTGAAATCATGAAATTTACTATTTTAAAAATTCTGTGACCGTGAAATTGACCAAAATAGAGCATGAATTTGGTAGGGCCCTAGATATAGAACTGGTGGGCTGCAAGACAGTGTTTACATTGACCGTCCGCAGGAATGGCCGCCTGCATCTCCCAGTGGCCACAGTTCGCCGTTCCCGGCCAATGGGAGCTGCAGGAAGTGGCGGCCAGCAAGTCCCTGAAAAGTGACAATGATTAGGAATATAGTGTTAAATCCCTACTAATTCAGTGCTATTGACCTTCAGATAAAAGACATTGGTCCATTATATGCAGAAAGTCACACGCTTCAGTTTTTTCATGGCATTATCTTTAGTCAACTTAGAACAGAGACAATAAAACTATCTTAAATCATATGCACGATGCAAGGCAATGCTTCTTTTAGTCACTGGTTTGTTTCACTTATATTCTTCCTACCAAAACTGCAATACAAGTAGAAATTTCCCTCAGCTTACTGGAAAACTATTTGAGAATGAGTTTGATCAGTTCCTGAAATAACTAGCCCCATGTCAAAAACCAAATATGAACCCACTAAATGTGAGCCTTCAGAATATGTAGGATTTGAGTCTTTCATGAATTGATGTCTCACCAATTTAAAGCCGCCGGGCCAAATTCATCCCAATGTAACTTCAGAGAATCATTTTTAATGTAAAAATACAAGAAACAAGAGGTAACTCTTTCTATTTTCTTAGACCATTTGAATGATCAATATACATTTTTGATCACAGAAATAAATGCAAACTGTGTAAAGAAACCTACCCAGTAAATACAGCTCTCAAGCTGATTTAGTGGTTGGCATGTTATCAACAGGATTGCTACTCTGTAATTCACCAAAAACACAATTGGCTTTCATCACAATATGGCATACAATAGAAGCTATTAATAAAATCGGGCATTTGTGTATATGTCAATTTTCTCAAGTACAGTATGGCAAGGTGCCTTATTATTCAAGCGATGATATAGGAGAGCATCAAACACCAGATGGGGCTGCAGTCTAGCACTAGAACAGTTTCATCCAGCACATTCATGGTAACAGAGTTCTTATATTTCATAGATTGACTAATGATGTTTAGAGACAAAGCTTTTTCCCTTGAAGATAGGCCCAAAACCTTTCTCTATATGATCTAACAGATACTAGCTTTGCCAGATACTGATCTATTCAAACGTTAAGCCTTTGGTTTTTGTAGCATTGGGGAAAATGACTTTTCCTTCTTTGTTGAATTCTTTGAAAAAAGCTTTGCTAGCCCAACCCCCAACAATCTCATCATATACTCTTTATTATAAAAGTTACATTCAAGAAATGAGTCTTCTGAAATATTTAAGAGAAAGAAGGGAAGTGCTAGAAACTCTCATTCTGGTGATCTCTCTGCTTTCATGTATCCATTATGTAAAAGGGGGGGAAAAAGATGCTGTTCTGAGTCCAAACAAAATGTTTTCTTAGTTAATACATTTCTATTCCATAAAATCTCTGAGCAAATAATTCAAACAAAAGAGTAAGTGTGAATGTGGTTTTTAAGGTTTAGCTGGTTTTTACTACCTCTCTGAGAGACGGACAGGACACACTTGCTTTGAAATTCTATCACAAAATGGACAGTTTTATGGATCAGTGCCCTTTAGTTCAAACATTTTCTGCTAAAAGAATTGTGGAAAAAATGATGGAGAGTAGCATATTTCACATCTTTGGGTTATTACAAGGTTTTAATGTTTGATTACTGATTTTATTTACTCCCTCTTGTCCAGAGATGCTGAAACTGATCAGCTTTTTTCCTCCTCCAAATCAGAATCTGAATGTTAGATGTAAGAAATTGGCAGAAACCAGGGAGCTTCATATTTAAAAAGCATTGCTCAAGTTAAAAATATTAAAATGATATAGTCATAGCTGTACACAAACTTACGCTTGCATATCCCCAAGGCACCAGTATAGAAATCGAGCTCACATTAGGCATACACTAGCCATTAACATTAGCCATTAATAATTTAGAACATTAACACCTAATATAAATGGTTTACACACAGCCTCATGACATGACATATAGTTTTCTGATATAGCATGCGAAGTGGGCAAGAGTCATTCAGTTAATAGTTCATAAACTACAGATTGGTTTCCAGACAGTCACGGATTGGTTTTAGACAGTCACAGGATGTTCGATTTGTGAGCACTCCATGTAACATCCTCTGAAATCACCTGCAGCTGTGAGAAGGGAACTCTGCACCTTCAAACCATAGAAAATTGTTGGTTTCACGTTTTCGGGCTAGAAAAAGTAACGAAATTCAAATATCTATCACTTTCTTATTTTAATACCAAAGGCACTTTGCAATATTAAGAGCTAAATTCATAGCAAATCTGAAGTTTAAAAATCAGTGTTTGAACTCTATAAAGATAGAAAAAAGTCTATCCCTTTCTTCACTAGTACATAACTTATATATATATATAAATATATAAAAGGAGATATACCTATCTCATAGAACTGGAAGGGACCCTGAAAGGTCATTGAGTCCAGCCCCCTGCCTTCACCCGCAGGACCATGTAATGATTTTTGCCCCAGATCCCTAAGTGGTACCCTCAAGGATTGAACTCACAACCCTGGGTTTAACAGGCCAATACTCAAACCACTGAGCTATCCCTCGCCCCTTTGACAAAATATGTCAAAATGATTTGACATTTTGCTGAACTTCTTTCTCCCCTTCCTAGCCCTTAAAATGACAATGGCTACTCTTTCAACATTAAGCTACTGTTCTGTTCTCACATTCTGAATGTTGTTCTGGTAGCTGTTACCAGCAAGAGCTAACATTTGATAGTGTGCAGCAGAGTCCACTGAAGCTAATGGAAACACATATACAAAGTACATCATGTTCAAAAAAGGAATAATTTAAAATGTCACTTGATTGAGATAATCTAACATCATTCCCTTGTGAATCCATTTTGCTCTACTATTCAAAAGAAAGGTGCTCATGAAACTGACACACCCTTGTGCTGATAATCTTATTATTCTTCAGATATCAAAAGAACATATTCGGTCTCTCCCTCCATAGTTTGCATGCCACCACTCAACAAGCTACCTAGCCATTGAAGCAAATGAAAAAAATTCTATGGAAATTCCTATCTCTAAGTGATCACTATAATGAATGATAA